ATATAAACTATAAATTACCTGAATCTCGTGATTTTCCTACAAAAAGCATCGTTGGAAATGTGATTTATCACGTATTATTTTACAACTAAAAGGGCACTTCTGCCCCCCCTGCCCCCCCCCTAGCAAAAGGCAAGGGGGGCAGCCGCCCTGCCCCCCCAGTTCCGGCGTCCCTGGCTCTTTCAAACTGTGGTGAAATGTTTGCCTAGACTTGTCTACATCAAAATTTTGTTCATTAGGGAATAGGTCCACTCTTGTCCTCGTTTGATCGGGGCTTAAATTAATTGCATTAAAGAAGAAACTTTCAATTTCACTCAACCAAACACTGCGGGTTTTCTTCAGTTACTTCGGTAACACTGGACCAGTAAGGAGTGACTTTTTCTAGAAGAAAACAGTTTAGAAATGATATGGAGCTGTCCAGTATAAATAATGTTAGTTTAATTAATTTTTCTTTTCTTGGTAGGCTGTAAGACTGCGATTCCATCGTCCTCGTGATTCGGATACCTTGGGTCTAAATCGTATCGAAATCTTGGGAACAAGTTTCTATGGTCCACTACCCGCCATACAGCCTGTGTTACATTCTCAGAAAGCAAGGTAGGTTGTGTGTAAGTAATCTTGGGTATTCTTTCAAAGCAAATATGCTTTTTGCATAACGTCACAGATATGTCAAGAGCATGTGTGACTGGATGGCATGGAGAACATCGGCATTTTCAAAATAATAAAAGTCCATAGAACATTCTGAACACTAGATCATAACTATATAGCACTAGAGAGTTGAGAAACGAGAGTTTGCATGAGTGTTTTCTCAACTCTCATGCCCCGGTTAAAATGAGCAGTGGCGTAGGAAGCATCAAAAAGTTGGGGGGAGGGGGCGGTTTCGAGGGGCACTTTGGAGGGGGGGGTCTACTCAAAAAATATTTGGGACATGTCATAATTTTTTCCGGACATAATTTTTTCCGAAAATAACAAAAATTTTCCGGAAATATCATAATTTTTTTCGAAAATAATAAAAAAATTTCGAAAATAATAAAATTTTGTTCGGACATGATAAATTTTTCCGAAAATAAAAAATGTTTCGATCTCAACGAAATTGTTAACGTTGTCAGACAGAAGGGCACTTTGCCACCAGTGCTCCCCTTCCTACGCCACTGAAAACGACAACAAAAGTTGCATGAAGTTGATGAGAGTTCACTGGTTATTTCTGCGTTCGCGTGGCGAAATTCTCATCCACTCTCAAAAATGGCGTCATTCAGTTAATTTCTCAGTCTTGGTGAAATTTTGAATTATTCGACTTGATTTTTTAGTTTGAACTGGTCTCGAGCTTTAGATTACTGTCTTCGCCGCTCACACAGTTTGTCATCACTGGTGTTGGAAACACTTTCAAACACTGAAGGAATTCTTAATGTACTTCTCAAGATACTCTGGACTTTTCCCAGGTAAGTTCAAATGCAGGTCTAGATAATATATTTCTGTTGCTGGCAGCAAAATCCAAAAATAAAAATTTCCTGTCAAATATAACGCCCGTATTCTAAAAGCTCACTCACACTCAATGAGTGGAGGTTCAATCTGAGCTTCTCTCGAGTGTCAATGCTGTTTTTGAATAGCTGGAGGGTGAGTAGTCACACAGTAAGGTATGACACTAACCCTCCAGCTATTCAAAAACAGCAATGACCCTCGAGGGAAGCTCAGATTGAACTTCCACTCATTGAGTGTGAGTGTGAGTGAGCTTTTAGAATACGGGCGTAAAACGTCCTGCGGGATTCAACTAAAAATAATACCAGATTATCATTTTTTAGTTCAAATCTCAAGTCATGTGTGGAGTTTATACTGATCAAATTTGCTTCGAGCTCGACGCACGTTTGCACTCACTTGCTGAATCACTTGTTGTATGGTGGAGCTGACCTAGCAGGCTCACTTGGCGTATCGCACAGCAGTAACTCGGAAAACGAATTGTTATATCAGTTAGGGATTATACAGGATGACCAAACATGGGAAAGGTAATAATGCCATGGATTTATTTATTGAAAATTTAATCTAAGAGATCAATTTTGACATTAACATTGTTAAAGGCACAGTTCAACCTTTAGAATGATGGTTTTTAAGGCGCATTATAATCCTTTTAATTAGCCTTTCTCACGATGACGAATATCCGCCATTTTTGGGTGGCATCTAATTCTCGGTAACCAATGTAGACAATTAAAACAATGTGAAAAGCAATTTTTCAAAATAAAGTAACCATTTACAAAGCAAATTTACCATTATTCGTCCAAAAAATTGTATAAAATCGCTGTTATGTCACTTATGTGGACTTACAGTATCTCGCAGACTTCGGCTGAAAAGCCACCCAAAAATGGCGGCGTGAGAAAGGGTAATTGAAAAAACCAACTAGAAAAATCAATTAAACAAAATTCAAGATCAGTGTACTTGCAATGTTTTTAAGATTAAAAATGTGAAAAAATGTTAAAAAACATTGAGTTCACTGATCTTGAATTATGCTTAATTGATATTCCTAGTTAGTTTTTTTCAATTAAAAGGGTTGAAATGCGCCTTAAAACTCATCATTTAAAAGACCGAACTGTGCCTTTAAAATTGGTCAAGAAGAATCAATGTTAATTATGTTATGGCTGTTTCATAATAAAGTCTGGACCATTTGAATTACGCATCACTTGTGTAATAATTAGCTGGCTCAAAAAATTATTATGATGGCATAATTTTTTTTCATGTTTCCCCAGATTGAAGCCATTGTGTGAATGGTTGCTGTATGCTGAAGGCCAAGCAAATATGGAACGTCCTCAGTCGGGAAACGCTGGTAGTAATCTCATCCCCAAGATTAGAACTACTGCAGCCGTGATTTGGTTAATCAAAGATGATCCTGTCCTATGTGACCATCTGCAAGCTCTTATTACTGAAGAAAAATTTAGGTACGAGTGTTCTTTTCAAATGGCCGGTTTGTGTTGTACAGCTACAGTATACTGTTCAACATATCACATTATTAATGCATTCAACTGTCCATGCCATGAAGAAAACATGTCATTAACTTACCAACCAATATTTATTTTCTGCTGTGATAGTTGCCGTCTGGAACGCCTGCGACAGACGTAAAAATCTCACAACTTGTCAACAAGATGTGTTCATAACAGGCTTGTAGGAAGCTTGTCAACATGTTGTAACAATGCTTTTGTTTTATCAAGTTTTTATTTTATCAACTTGTTAACAAGTTGTTGAATTGCAGGACGATAACAAATTGTTGGAACAACTTGTAACATGTCTGTTGAGCTCAACAACCTTGCAGCAAGTTGTCAACAAGCCATTACAAACACACGTAAGAACGCACAAGTTGTTACAGGTTTGCAAACAAATTGTTACATATTTGTTCACAAGCTGTTGACAAGTTGTGTTCGCACTGCTTGTTCCTAGTTGTTGTAACAAGTTTGGAACAGGCTGTTAACAACTTGTAACAAGCTTGATGGCATTATCAGACCTGTTACAAGGTTGTTCTAACAAGTCTAATAACCAACTCATGTAAACAAGCCGTGACACTCTTTTCACTTCTTTTCAGGCGTATATACGAATGGTCTCAACGTGTACTGGATATCCCAATGCTGAAACTCACATTGGATCATCTTATTTGTGCTTTGTGTTACGTCATCAGGCCTTATTTCCAGTGTTTATTAAACCTGAGTGGTCCATCGATTGATCAATCAGAAGGCAAGACTAACTACTCGGCTCTCACAACTCTGGCTCGAGCTTCACACTCGTCACCAGGTGCAAAAGATTTACTCGAGTCGACAATCCTTCAGAAAGTAGTTGAAAATGTGGAGAAATCTTGTAGGAAATTTATGAAAGGATCAAAAAAGGTCTCAAGTTCCACACAGTTATCAGATAAATCATCGCCAAATTCTCTAGAAGCACTCGAGAAGTTGTTGGAGTTTTTGACATTGTGTTTAGGACATCATCAACTCAAAGATTGGTTGGGAAGTGAAGAAGGCAGTTCATTTTGGCAATCACTTTTGAGTTTTTTGACTGACTGCCACTCGCGTGTTTCCACGCGGGACCCCTCGCGTGTGTTCACGCGGGATACCTCGCGTGTATCTGTGTGCCCGCGTGTCCTTGCAAGCTTACAAACAACATCGTTAAGATACTTTAAGACATGCGTGTCTGGTCACTTGAGGAACCAACAAAACCTCGCGCGTGTACTGTTTGAACTACTCGCGAGGGAAAGTGATGACGTCAAACCCAAAACTTTATCGGGATTTCTTCGGAGGCTTGTCTTGGAACTTCTGTTGGACGACGATCATATGACTCTAGCGGTCACGTGTTCGAATATTACATCGCAGAGCGTGGTGACGTCACCTGGGAATGCGTCCCAGTCTCCTCTGTGGCATCCGCGGTTTGGTACATCGAACTCGTGTAAGCTCGTGAGCGTCCGAACGAATACGAAAGGTCAGGAAATTCTCAACACGATGGTAGTGAATCCGTTACAACAATTACAGTCTCTAAGTTCGGGAGTGAACGACACTGCCCAGAAAACGTCGGAAACCCTACAAGATCTTGCTGAATTATTTGAATTCGGTGATTTATCCAAACACGAGGCTTTCACGTTGACCTCATCCGCTTTCAATGTGAAACACAAGCGTGATAAGAAGAAAGAGGAAGGGACTAGTAACGAGGGTACCGGGGTTAACCCTAATCCGGATGTAAAGCTCCCTATTGAAAACTGGCTATGTTGTAAGGATGGTCCGCTTGCTGAAATACCGCTGCCCAAGGATATCACCGTCTCGCAAATAATGCAAACTGTAGTAGAATACGGCCAGGGCATGGGGACGATATGTCTTAGGCTTGATATCAGGTCCCCCATGGACCGCAATACCAGCATCCCTAGCGAGAAGTCATGTGACATGATATCCCAGAAATCCGTGTCTACATTATTGGAAGTCTTTTCAGAGCTTGGTGGCCTTGCCCTCATAGCAAATCATCTACCCCCTCGGTTCTCTCTCGACATGAGTTCGGATTCAAATCGGACTGCGACGTCATTGTATAACCCAGTAGTTGTGACGTCACTTGTCCCAGGCTACTCTCTGATGGGTTTCACAATGTTTCTACGACTGCCTGGCTACGCATCTATATTATTGGAAAATCAGCAGAATGCTTGTTACATGTTGAGGTTGATTCTTGGAGTAGATGATAGCGGTGATGGAGGTAAGATACACGGCAAGAAACGCCGAGCCCGCTGCTCAACAGGACTGAACAATGTTTTGCTACCCACGTTGTTCACACTTGTCAACAATATTGTTGAGCCTGAATCGGGTGTAACAATATTGTTCAATATTGTTGACAGCTATGAACAATGTGGCAGCAAAACATTGTTCAATCCTGTTTTCATCAGTATTGCATCAACCTGAGCGTTTTTAAGCGTTTATAGCCGTTTGCATGGAACAGTCACAGATAAAAACAAGGCTTTTTACCTTACATTATACATGCGATTTCGATGGCGCAATCTTCGGTTATAAATTGATATATCTCGCTGTTTATGAATGCTGAGTCCCATCCTTATCCTGACTCTAACCCTAACCGCTGACCCTACCTCATGAACAGCGAGACATAAATCTATATCCCAGTCTTCAGAACAAGCGCCTTCCACCTCTAAGATCGTGGGTTCGATTCTCGCGACACTCGATCTCATGACACTTATGTAGAAAGAGTCGTGAACGCTCTACCGAAAGTCGTATGTGTTCCCCGAGTAATCCGCCCCCCACCCCCCACACAGTGAATGTTGACAGGGTGGGTTGTGATTAGCCCCTAACTGACCCTTCCACAAAAAAGCTGAAAGCTATGAAAAATTATTATATGGCTTTTCAAAATTCTCTATTCTGATTGGTTGACAAGCGGTCCGTAAAAACCCATATCCGGACCGTGGTCCGTATTTTCCGTATCTGGACCGGTGTCCCGGATGTCGTTTATCTGGCGGGAAATTTTTGCTTTGCAAACAGAAAAAATTTTTGCTTTTTAATTTTCCAATTGTGTGTCATTAAAATTTACAGATAAAAATTTCAAACAACCAAATTGTTTTTGATTGAGCATGCATGCCTACCGTATATTGTTACCCAGTGAAACTGACGATAGCTGATTTAATTCGCGCGAAAAGCATATGCTCACAGACTCAGTTCAGCCATATAATAAACCGATTATTGACCTCGCTTGTTCGGTCTGTACCGTGAAATATCAGACCTCTGTTTTTTGCACTAAAAAACCTCTGTCTGATATTTCACAGTACAGACCTCACGCTCGGTCAATAAGCCTTTATTATCGCCCTAGCTGTGCCCCGTGATCAGACATGAGTCATAAAGTGGCTGCCAGAGGCGCCCTTAAAAGGCCTTCGAACTGGATCAGGTTAGCCTCTCCGCTGCAAGTAAGGATGATTCACCCCCCCCC